ATTTGGTATCACTGTTCCTCCAGCACTCTTCTTTCTGCTAAGGATTGTTTTGGCTATTTAGGGTCTATCATTGTTCAATAAGAATTTTTAGATTGCTTCTTCTATTTCCTGGAAGAATGAGGTTGGGATATTGATAGTTATTGTATTGATTTTGTAGATACCCATTGGCATTCTTGCCATTTTCACGATGTTAATCTTCCCATGGGAGCATGGAGAGTTTTCCACTTTCTTAGTTCTGCTTTAATTTCCTTTTTCAGGTTTTTAAAGTTTTTATCATAGAGGTCCTTCACTTCTTTAGCTAACTCCTATGTATTTTATTTTTTGTGAGGCTATTACAAAAGGATTGCTTTCTTACTTTCAGCCATTTTCTTCTTGTTATTGGCATACAGGAAAGCCATTGATTTCTGTGGGTTTTATATCCTGGTACTTTGAATCAGCTCAAGTAACTTGGGAGTGGAGTCCATGGGGTTATTTAAATACAAGATCAAGTCATTTGCAAAGAGGGAGAGTTTTACTTTATTTTTCCCTATTTAGATCCCCTTTATGTTTGCATCTTGTCTTAATTGCTCTAGCTAGGCATTCTAATGGTAGATTGAAGAGGAGTGGAGAGAGCAAATATCCTTGTCTTGTTCCTGAATTTAGAGGAAATGGCTTTAGCTTTTTTCCATTAAGTATAATGCTGGCTGTATGTTTGTCATATACAGTCTTTCTTATATTGAGAAATATTCTGTGTCTATCATCTTTATTGTCTAATTGTCTATCATCTATGTCTATTGTCTAATATCTATTGTCTTTCCTTTTTCTCCTCTGGTTTATTCCCTGGAAACTGTTTCTGATTTTAGTATCCTTTGTCTTGCATATAAATTTATCTGATTTTGGGAAAGAAAGGGAAATCACAGAAGCAGTGGACAAAGGCTGAACCAATGAAACATAGATACTCACTAGATACTATGTTGGAAATGAAATTTATGACTTGGGGGAGAGGGGAGTCATGAGGGAAGGAAAGCAGGAGAAAACTAGTGAGGGTAAACAATGTTCGAAAAGAAATGTACTTATTACCTTAAGTTACATAACTATAAACCTTTGGTATATCACCTTTATAATAAAATAAAATTAAAAAATATAAAATAAAGTACAGGTTAGTTGGAGAACTATGTACATACATTATGCGCATCTTCCAGACTGCTACAGCTCTTCTTCTACCAGTGGTGCCCATAGTAATTTTGAGTTTTGTATAATCCTAATTTGCCACCATTGTTTTGCATACTGACATTGAAAGTGAGAGTATTTTCTTCTCAGGCATCCCACATTCGTTGCTTTTTCCATGTCTCATCTATTTTCCAAAGCATATTTGACATCACACTTCGATCTCTCACTACTTCAAGAGATGATATATGAATTCCTAAAATATACCTCTGTACTCTACTTCCAGATGTATAGTTACAATTATACTTTATTAACTATCCATCCAAATGTTTCAGGTTTGGGGAATATGACAGTATCCTTCCCTGTTGAGCATTTCTGTTTTAAGAATTCCCACCAGGGAAGGTGACACAGGCCTATAATCCTAGATATGCCAGAGATAAAGACAGAAGGATTATAAATTCAAGGTAAGTATGGGAAAATTTGCTAAGAATTTATCTCAAAAATCAAAGGGCTTGGGCACAGTACAATTTGAAAAACACTCACCTAATAAGCACAAAGTCATGGATGAGTCCCCAGTATGAAAAAAAAAATCATCACTGTTCAGACTTCCTTCAAAACTGACAGGCATTCTGGCCTCATATTCAAGGTGTAAATATAAATACATACACTTTCACTAAAGCCACAGACAATTGGCATGTTCACACTTTGCTATACCAAGGGCACAAATGGGTGAGTAGATAAACAATAGACTACATAAGAGAGCTCTCTAATCAGAGTAGAAAACTTACAGAGCTTTCCCACGCATTGGTAGCTCACGCTTTTAATCCTAGCTACTCAGGAGTTTGAGATCTGAGGACTGTTTCAAAGACAGCCAGAAGAGGAGGTGTGATCAAGTAGTAGAGTGCCATGCAAGCTTGTGAAGTCTTGAATTCAAGCACCAATATTGGCCCCATAAAGAGAGGGGAAATAAAGATTGTTTTGCCTTTTCTCCATAATGTGATAAGTTGAGTTCTTATTGTCCCCTTTGTTAAAAAGCTTATTTGGGGCTTGAGCACTATCCCTGTAGATTTTATTTTTTCTCAAAACTAGCACTCTGCCACTTAAATCACACCAAAACTTCCAAACTTTTTGTGGCTAATTGATAAAAGTGTTCACGACTTTCCTGCCTGGGCTGGCTTCCAACATTGATCCTCAGATCTCAACCTCCTGAACAGCTAAAATTACAGGCATAAGCCTCTGGCACCTAGTGTAGAGATGTTTTTGAAATACCCCCAGGAGATATTTGCAGTATCCTTTTCAATCAAAAACAACCTCAGTTCTGGGCAAATTTGGCTTCATTTATCCTGGCAGCAGTAGCAGACATCCTTATTCATCTTTCAAGTCTCTTATTAAATGGAATGGCTTACAAGGGACAAGAAATAAAGAATACAGACAAAACAAATAGAAGGTCTTACGAACTTTAGTGAAGTTTTAATCCAAACAAATGAGTGGAAATTGGGAGTAATCCCTTCATAAACAGAGTTGTTAGATTTGTACTAGACTTAATATTAAAGTAATAAATATCTTGTAATCCCATTTCCCTTTTCCATTATGATTGTTATCATTTATCAACTTCTGAATCTTTGGTAAAAGCTTAGGCAGTTTGAAAAAATAACTATATTAGGATTACAATTTATATTTAAGTCATAAAGTGTGAAGAATAAAAAAAAGGTAACTAATCGTTGGTGTGAGTTTCTGATTTAACAGGAAAGGATGACTTTTCTTATAATATTCATGCTATAGAACCTGCATTTTCCAATTTGACTTTTTCAAGGAGATGAAATGTGCCCCAAAACAAAGCAAGAATATAAAAATTGTTTAATGCTCACACTCTGAAAAACTTAATGGCCTTTCAATAATTAAGAAATCTATGTGCATCAAACATGTGAAATTGTCATTCCATACAGAGATACATATATTTACAAGTGGTATTATATTTACAATTAAAATATCTCCGTGGAGGGTCATTATACTTTTTTAAAGTTATTCTTTCCAATTAGATATGGACAGAACAGATTGAAGCACATATTCATAATTTTAAAAGTAATGCAATTGTCCACTCCATTGTCTTTTCTTTAGACAATGACATAAGTTTACGTCTGTCACTTTTATTTGCATAACTGCACCTAACATTCTCATTAGTGTTAATTAGCTTACTTATTCCACTACTTCATATTTAATTTCATCACAAATTCTCATCTCATATGATACCAGTGGTGTTGATATTGTCTTTAATGTAATATCAGTGCAAATACAAAAATGGAATTAGTAAATGCAGACTGAGCTGCAAAATGAAAAGACATATATTGCATGGAAGTCTTGAATTGACATAAAAACAGAGCAAAATAGATATGTTATACTTTTAATCTAGCAATCCATGACATTAAATAGCACCATACTGATTTTAAAATACATTGTATATTTGTATCTTGGTACTACTTGGTGCTCTGGCCCTCCCAGGCTCTACTCCTTATGCTGGCTCACCCTACCTGACAATGTCAGATATGAATACCAGGGAAACTGTATTTTAAATCATGTCATGTGAACAAATGCTTGTATTGTTTTCTTTCAATTCTTGAAAAAATAACTTTTTCTTGCATTATTATACTCAGACATGAGGAAATATTAAGGGTAACACAAGAATACTGATTTTTTTCATCTTGTGTCTCAGAGAGAAATATTTTAATAATTCATTTTTAATGGTGTGATTGGGATTTTCTGGTAAATTGTCTTATTTGATTTTCTGGTAAATTGTCTTGTTTGAATCTATGTTCTTTGGGCAGAATTCATGTTTCATTAAAATAATATTCTTTGGGGGGGGGGGCGGTCGTGGGGCCTGAACTCTGGGCCTGGACGCTGTCCCTCAGCTCTTAAGCTCAAGGCTAGCACTCTAATATTCATTTTTTAGTATTGACTTTTATAGAGTTCTTGACATAAGTGTATGCCATTTATCAGATGAAGATACTCTGGTACTTTCCTGCAACAAGTAGCTCTCTTCATAGAGAAAAGAAATGATTAAGTTTGTGATTCTCAACTTTTTTTTCTTATGAATTGTGCATTTGGTATTATCACTAAGAAATCTTTTCCTCTCTAGTATTACAAAGGTTTTCTCTAATATCTATATCTAAGAGTTTAATATTTCTAGGAGAATATATATATACATATATATACCATATATATATTTCTAGAAGTTTTCCATTCTCTAATTTATTTTGACATGTATTATTGTAATACCATGGGAGGTTCTTCATTAAAAATATAAGACTATCCAGTCATTCTTGCACTGTTCATTGGAAAGATTTTGCTTTCTTTATTCCATTTTCCTTTCATTGAAAGTCATTGTCAGCTGAGCACCAATGGATCACACTCAGGAGGCTGAGAGCTGAGGATCAGGGTTCAAAGCCAGCCTGGGCACGAAGGTCCATGAGACTCTTATCTTATTTCCAATAAACCCATCAGTGGCACTATGGCTCAAGTGGTAGAATGCTTGCCTTGAACTGAATTGCTGAGGGTCAGTGCCCAGGCTCAGAGTTCAAGTCCCATGTCAGACCAAAAAAAAAAAAAAAGTCATTGTCTATTTTATTTGTGTCTGTTTCTGGGTATTGCTTCTGCTGACAATAGCACAATGCACACATATTTAAACAAGAGACCACAAGACACTCGAATAAATTTTTACTTATTTTTGATAATTTCCTGACTACTGGGGGGAAAACATGGTATGGGATTCATGGCAACTAATAATTTTCAGACTTTGTAATTACACAAAAATTGTAAAAATAATGATAATTACAATTTTAAATTCTTTTTATTTTTAGGTTCAGGTTCTCAGGAATGCTGGAGAAGAAGTGACCCTAACAGTGTCATTTTTAAAAAGAGCCCCTGCTTTCCTCAAACTCCCATTGAATGAAGACTGTTCCTGTAAGCATTTGCAAAGCATGGCTAAATATTTACATTGTATTTACTCACTAAATTCTATTTTCTGATTAGTAGCTATTTCTTTTCAGAGTAGGAATTCCATCCTTATTGTCAACATTTTTTTATTACAAGATGTTCTGCTGATTTTAATGAGAAGGCGATGGATTTAGAATTTGTTTTACAACTATTTGTCACATTACAATTCTTTTACTCTATAGAGAACTACGATTTGTTTTGAAAATTCATATTATATCTGGGTGCTAGGGATAACACTTGTCTCCTAGCTACTTAGATATCTGGAAGTGTATACCTGCTGGTACCTGGAGGATCATGATTTTCTGCAAGCCTGGGCAGAAAAATGTGTGAAACTACATCTACAATAAACAAAAATCCAGACTGGAGTCATGGCTCGAGTGGCAGAGCACCATTCAAGCTTACTAGATAAACAAGGATGAAACCTCAAATTCAAATTTGAGTAATAACCCAATGATAAAGAGCCAGGTGTTCTTTTATTTTTACTTTTATTACAGACTCATGTCTGTAATCCTAGCTACTTAGCCAGCTGAGATCTGACTATCAAGCTTCAAAGCCAGACTGGACAGAAGAGGCCATGAGACTCTTATTTCCAATTAATCACCCAAGAACTGGAAATGAAGCTATGATTTGAAGTGGTAGGGCACTAGCCTTCAGCAGAAGAAGCTTGGGGATAACTTCAAGACTCAGACGTAAAGCCACTACCAACAATATAATAAATTAAAGTAAAAATAAAAAAGAGAATGTGCATCATGACATGCATCATGTCCACAAGAGTTGGGCATGCTACTAAATTGCATTCATGATATTTACTGAATATAATGATTTTCTAGCAGGAAAATGGTGTAGTTGACAAGCATGAAATAATATTTCACTTGTCTTGAGAGTAATGACAGAAGAAAGCATTTATCTTTGGGATAATATAAAAGTTTATAGAAAAGTTAATAAAAAGTTCTATATCAGATGTTTCTTGGTTTTTCTTCCTTGAAATAAAATATATATCCTTTAATACTTCTGCTAAAATAATTTGTATTTTAAAATGAATAAAAATTATGTAAAGGATATGCAATATTTTTATGCACAATTGATTCCATTCTGAAAACACGAACACTTGGTTCATGCCCACTCCTCACTTCCTCTTTATCTGCTCCCCAGTCAATAGTGGCTGTGGACCTGCCCTTCCTTGCTGTCCTGCTGCTCCTCCTCAAGAATTGTATGCAATGGGTCATACTCTGTGTAATTTTTCACAACTACTTCTTTTATTATCAGCAGTTTCTTTACTATTCACCCATGTTATATTTAGCAGTTCTCTTGCAGCACCATTTAAGAAACCATTAGGTGAATATAGTAAAGATTCTCAATGTGTTTCCCAGCCTTTTCCTATTGTACATGAAGCTGCTATTATAAAGGCTGTTGTACAAAGCTTTTAATGGCAATTTTCCCATTCTATTTTGCCACAATAAATATCATGAAATTTGATTGCTGAATGACAGGATAGATTATATATATTAGTAAATTCGGAAAGTAGGTGTATTTTTATTACATTAAATACACATATCATCAAATTTGCCATCTTAAGTAAACATATACAGTAGGCATTCCTTTAGGTGTACGTTCTATGACAGTTGTACCATTTTTTTTTCCTTTAGCCAAATTAAAACTCTGTGCCCTTAAAAAAGAATGTGTTTTTGCACCCCTACTCTCTAGTAAACACTGTTCTATTGTTGGTTCTCTCTGACTATATTATATTACTCATAAAAGCCCAATACTGTAGTATTGGAAATTTTCTGATTGCCTTCTTTCATTTAGCATTGTGTGCTCAAGATTCATTCTTATCATAGCCTAAAACTGAGTGTCTTTAATTTTTTTTAAATTTTTTGTCACTGAGTCTTTTCTATCTAGCCTCCTCTGCCTGAGGTAAACACTATTCTCTCTCTACTTCTATGAGACTAGTCTTTCAAGATTTCCTGTATGAGAGAGAACATAGGACATTTGTCTTCCTATGTCTGAATTAATGTAGCATCCTGCAGGACATTTACATTGCTCTAAATGACTAGACATGGGTAAAATAAAATGGCATATATAGAGAGAATATATATATACAATAACATATATACATATTTATGTATATCAGGGTAGCTGTTCTTGGCTTTATGTTTATCTGGGGTATAGTACCTTATTACAATAATTTATTAACTCGTTTCTGGAATGTTCTTTTAAATGATTTTGAGCTTTATCCTGTTGCTAAGTTAGTGCCTTCGACTCGGGGAAAGAGTAGATTTTCTACTGCACCAGCTTGCTAATCTATATAGCAACATGATTATTTGTAAATTCCACCCATTTTTCATTGCAGGAATATATTTAAATTCTGGAAGTCCTATATTCTTTCCAATATTTGATGGTCAAAGACTTTCAGTATGCATTCTATTGAGTGTAGTGAAATGGTTCCTATATGGTTAATTTGTATTTTCCTGATGACTAAGGATAATGGCTCTTTACCTTGTTCTTAACTACCATTTTTGTCTTATTTTCTAAGATATCTATTCGTCTTTTTTCCCCATTTTCTTACTGATATGACATTTTGCAAATGTTTTCTATGTATTACTTTTTCAGTTATATGACATGTACATTATACATATTTTCTGTCCATCTCTGGACAACAATAATTTGTACAAAGCATATGTTTTTTAAAGCAAAAGTTTCTAAAACTTTTGGACAATATTCTAATTATTTTTTATATTTAATTTAATTTTATTTGTGAACATACTGTACAGAGGGGTTACAATTACAGGGGCAGGATAATGCATACATTTCTTACCAAGCATTGCAGCCTCCTCCTTT